TGCTCATCTGCCTTTATTTGCATATGAACTTACTGTTAGTGACATCCCATTCCTAATCCATAGGGTTCAATATGACGTCGGTTCACCCTTTGCAGCTATACCATCTTCAACTCTTCTGGGAAGGCTGTCCACAAGGTTTAGGAGTGTGTTTATGGGAGTCCCAAGGGAGTGGGCGGCATACAAATTTTATTAAACTAAACATTAAACTAAATTTTTGACCATTCTTCCAGATTTGTGAGGTCACACGCTGATGTTGGATGAGTTTACGTGGCCTACCACTTCACAGTGAATTGCTGTCATTCCCAAACACTTCCACGTTCTTATAATACAGCTGACAGCTGACTGTGGAATATTTAGGAGTGAGGAAATTTCAAGACTGGATTTATTGCACAGGTGGCATCCTATCACAAGTACACGCTGGAATTCACTGAGCTTCTGAGAGCGACCCATTCTTTCACAAATGTTTGTAAAAACAGTCTGCATGCCTAGGTGCTTGATTTTGTACATCTGTGGCCATGGAAGTGATTGGAACACCTGATTCTGATTATTTGGATGGGTGAGCGAATACTTTTGGCAATATAGTGTATATCCACTTTCCTCCATAGTGTTAGTGTTTAGTTGGAAGGCAAATTCACTGAGCTCAAAGGAATTCAGTCAGTTAGGATTGTCATTTTAATATAAAAAAGCAAGAGCAGTCTGGTTTATGAGGAGGGAAAAATAAAAAAATATTTAAAAATAAACTCAAATCCATATTAAAGCGATATTTCTACAAAAAGATAAGCCAGATCTAACACTTAGTGCCCTGATGGGAGAACCTATGGAATGCATGCCAGAGGTGGCTCCCAGCGTCCTCTCTGATGGCATGTGAGCTGTCACACCAGTTCAGCTCTACTGCACATGCGCCTCCCACCAGCCAGCTAGTCTTTGGGTCTCTGCCGCGCATGCACGAGGGCTATGCACATGCGCGGGGAGCACATACATGCTCAGGGGGTGGGTTGCATACACAGGGGCTGCATGCATTGCATTACATTTGAGGGTACACGCACATGTACCCCCACGCATGGTCATGCTTTGTGCCCTCAGTCAGGAGGGCCATCACTGACTTAGTGCACAAGCACTGAATTGCACTGTGTTTTTAGTTTAAAATTATATTTGACTTGCACATCCTAGAGTTTGGGATTTATTTTGATTCTATGCTTGCGGGACAAAGCAACAACAAAACAATAATCTACTATTTCCAAGACAGAGCTAAAAAGGAGATATGGAATTGTGTTGTTAGTTTGTATTTGGGCCAGGCTGGAATTCAAGGCTACAGAAACATTTGCTTGACATCTTTCTAATAAAGGAAGCTAGAAAACAGAAACAATGCAGAAACAATGCAGAAACAGCTCAGGCCCTTTCCCCTCACATCCTAACTTGGTAATATTGTTGAAGAGTTTGTTTTATGGCATCTCGGTCCAAGCCTAGACAGAAAAGTTCACATTGATAACATCACTCTGTATTTCTGAGATGTAGCAACAGGCAGTTCAAGGAAAAAAACTCTTTCTTTACATTGCAAGGTCTACTGCAAGATCTAATAATTACAATATGCAGCCATAAAGCAGTCTCTCTGAACTCATGAGGACTAGAAACTTGCCTTTTTAGCAGGAAGATACCTTCAAGTTTGTAAATACTTTGTTCAGCAGAAAACTTTAAATATAGTCCTAAAAAGATTATAGGGAGTATAATTCTAGTACATGAAAGGCATGTTTTCCCCCCAAATGCCCAATTACAGTATGGGCGTGCAAACTGATTACCACTTTAAAATTTGTGATGACAATACATTTTGCATTAGTTTTACATTAATAACGTCTGATAACTTGAAAAAAGGCAACATTTTCTTACATAGAAAAAGTCACTTTAGTTTAAAAACATTAAAGAAAAATTTGGCTACCTATACGCTCTACAAAATCTTCTATCTCTGTTTCAAGAGGTCACAGAAGAAAGTTACAGTACAAATCACATAATTTTACTTCATTGCCACAAACTTTATGTGTGATTATTGCTGTTATTTGACATACATTACATTTAAATGAAGTCCATTTTGTTCTCCATCAGAAAGAGATTCTATTACAAGATGCACAAGTAATTAAACCAGGCTTGACCAAATGTGTGCCCTCTAGCTCTGTTGTACAACAACCCCAATCACTGCTGCCGAGCAAGAATCATGGCACTTCTAGAAGGCATGGTAGATGAGAATTGCACACTCATATCTTAGCAAATAGGCTGCTTTTAATAAAAATTCAAAACTAAAATGCTTCATCCCATGTAGATGCTTACCTCTTGTTTGGAATCTTTAAATGACCTTCTTAAAGATCTGCTTCTAGTTTCTAGTGGCGCAGGTTCTTCTTGCTGACCAAAGAATTCCTCAATTGTCTTTGTGTCGATTTGGTAGTTCTGCTTAGCACCAATAGTCCAGATATTGTTTTTACCACGGACTTGTTCTTCGGGGATCGTTTTCCAAAAGAAACTACGTATTCGCTTCTTCTTGCTCAGGTGGCTGTGTCCATTCAACAGCTGGGATACCGAAGATCTGCTTAGATTGGGGGGAGGAGGAGGTGGCGGCGGCGGCACTCCTGCTGATAAAGGCAATCCAGCTTCTGCGGAAAAGCATGGTGGAGGAAGAGGTGGGGGTGGAGGGGGTCGCTCTTCTGGTTCGTTGGTATCGCCAATCATGAATCCAGCTTCGGCTGAAATTGCTCCATTTTCTTTATCATTGACCAAGGAGACACAATTCATAACATGCATTTTATAATCTCTCTCTGTGGAGAGACAGACTTAGTTCTGTGGAGGTGCATATAATGCTTAGCAGCTGAACAACGTATGACTTCCTCATCAAAATTTTGGTTTACCATCCATCAATGAAATTCAAGAGATCTGTGTTCGCCCCTGAAATCTGTAACAGAAAAACAAGAAGGCTAGGTCAATGTTTTTGCAAATATGGGAAAGGGTATGGCCAAAGCACCAATTTGTAGACTATATTCCCATGATGGCGAACCTATATTTGCTGGCATGGCAGCCCTCGGCAGCCCTCAGCTCTGGCACTCATGTGTATGCTGGCCAGCTGATTTTCGGCCTTCCGGAGGGCCGGGGGAGTTCGGGAACGAACTTCCGGTTGGCCCATTGGGACTGTTTTACGCCCTTCCCAGGCTCCGGAGGCTTTCGGAAAAGCTTGGGGAGGGCGAAAATGGCATCCCCCGCTCCTCCGCCCTCATAGAAGCCATTTTCACCCTCCCCAGGCTTTAGGAAAGCCTCTGGAGCCTGGGGAGGGTGAACCCCCCCCCCACAGGTGTGGGGGTTGCTTGCACATGCACGATGGGGGTGGGGTCACTTGCACATGCACAATGGGGGGGTTGCTTGCATATGCGCAGATGGGGGTTGCTTATGCATGTGCAGATGGGGGGGGTCACTCGCGTATGCGCAGGTGGGTGGGCATGCGCACATGCACAATAGCACACATACACACACACAG